TAAATAACAAAAAAATAATATGTTTAAACTTGTCAATATGTGGTGCGCCAGTAACTTTTTCGACCATCGTATCTAAGCCGGTTCATATATATGCACATGGATGCGGCAATGATGAGCGGATGTTGAAGATTTGTATAAGGAAACGACAGCTGTTAACGTGCAAAATCTAAATCAAGCAAGCGAGAATTTCTTTAGCAAATAAAGTAAGCCATCCAAGCAAAGACAACAAAGAATTGTAACTGCATACATTTATTGTACATACATACATACATATCGTCGTTTAAAGTACAAAACCGCGTAACTGACATTTGCTGCCAAAAATTAGATTTGCTCACACAAGCTCTCTAGTAAATAATTTATGCAACCTCACATACGCGGTTTTGCATTTTGTTGATACGCGGTTTTGTACTTTAAACGACTATATGTATGTATGCAGATTATTGGAGTTAACACATAGGTGGGTGTTTGTATCCCCTGCAAAAAATGCGACTAATCGGGGATGACTCCGGGAGTAATCGCAAAGGGCGGGTACAAAAAGTTACTAGTCACTTTAAAAAATTAAAATTAAAATTTGCGCCAGCCGCGATTCGAACCAAAGTGCTCAGGTTTGTTGAGCGAATACTCTCTCTACGTGCCAACGCCGCACATGACTAAGTGCGTACATATCATTAAATCGTTAATAGTACCCGTTAGAGATGAGTCGGGGACTAATTGATCTCCAATTATACCCGTAAGGGATGAGTCGAGACTAATTGATCCCGATTAGTACCCGTATGAGACTAGTTGCGACTAATTAATGCCCAATTGTACCCGATTGAGGTAATCTCGGAATACTCTCTTTGGAGATTAGTCGCACAATTTCTGGCAGGGTTAGTTGCTGGTTTATTCGTAGTTTTAGTACTTTGGTTTTCCTTGCTTCATTATAGAGTCATAAATTTTCCAAGACAGGAACGTAAGATAGAGCTTAGCGCTCAAAACCGCCTCCCGACGAAATACCCAACACTAGTACCGAGGAGTATTCGGTACAGCGGACAAACAAGGAGTTTTAGTTCGGATTGAAGTTCCGCTCTACGGGGGTTAGGCTCTCGATGCGTTCTCCTTGTATAAAAAAAACATACATATTTACTTTTATTATTTGTACAGTCATTACATTAGAAATGACTTTTTAGCGTGAATACTAATACAAAATTTACATACATATTTAAATATTTTAGACATGTTTGGCCAATTTTTTGTTTGTTATTTTTCATGAACTAAACTGAACCAGTATTAAAGTGTGAATCTCATGATATTTATAAACGCGCGAAATCACTTGCAGTACACATAACAGTTCCACAGCCACATACATACATATATACATAAATAACCGCATACATATGGATCTATATACAT